TAGATTCGAGCCGTATCTGTGAGCTGGACATCCATAAGGTCCACCCACTCTGCAGGAGCAATGCGGGTCACCGTAAGGATAGTCTCGGTAACCTTCAGGAACTCTTCTGCTGCTAGAGGTCCTTCGACACCGGAAAAAGAAGGAGGTCGCATATACCGGATCTCCCTAACACCAGGTTCCGTACGAAGGGGAGGCTGGTGAGGCTCCTGCTGTAAGTGCCCAGCCAAATGCTGCTGATTCGTCGCCAGTCCCTGAATCATTGCAAAAAGTTAGCGTGGGTCCACTTCGGGAGGCGAGACATTACTACTGGATGGGTTACCATTGTTACGTGTACCTACCATGGTTCTGAAGGAAACGAGGATCCAAAAGGAAAATTAAGGTTAAAATCAAACAATATATTTAGAAAATAGGAACTAAAACATAGTTATTAAGATAATAATATAAGAACTAAATTGTAGTCTTACGGATGGAAATGATATGTATTTGAATCATCCAATACATTCTTACTAGTGGAAACTTGGGACCGTGATCGGAACCGTGACCTGCATGGGCCACCACTAAAACCTGTCACGCCCCGCTTCTCAAAATACCAGGGAATCGGAACGTGAACAAGCCCGTGACGTATTAGATTGAGAAGAAATATATATACTATCATTTTTTTCCTTCTCAATCCAATACGCTAAGCGTCAAATATATAAATCTCAGTCACAGGTCCCCGATCATAATAGTAAGAGTATAAAGACAACTCAGAATAAGAAATAAACATATCATCAACAGATCATCCCAGACATAAAATATGGGTTCAACATACCTGTATTACAACCACAGTTCAACTAGAAAATAAGAAATACATAGACCATAATAAAAGGAAATACTAATAAAATAACCAAATCTATCCCCAACTAAAGAAAATACTATAAGAGTGTTCTAGCAGCTACTACAGAAAGAAAAGCACGTCTAGGCTTCAGTTTGTTCTTCCACTCCATCGGAAGGACACCCCGGATGGGTATACTCCGGCTCGGCTGCATCATTGAACTGAACCTGTTCATCTCCTAAGTCTGACGCACACCAGAGAAAAACAGGTGTACGTCAGCGTGTATGGCACACGGCAAGATCCCACATGAACAAATAAAACGGTCTAACGACCCCTACTATAACAATAGTAATGATGGAACATGATTCTATAATTCTAACAATTTAATGAACATTTGTTACTATCAGAATGAACAGAAGTACTCAAGCCAACTGGTAATCTATTTCCTACGACTAATCCATCCTATAACAAGTCACTGGTCAATTCTCACACAAAGTCATCACTCATATTACCGGATATCTGACTGTTCACAAATCCCCTACGTGTATCCAAACCCGTGAAACGGTTCGGTGAGAGGCCTACACGCAATCCGATTTCGGCCTGGTTCGAACTCAAGCAAAACTCGGATGACGAAACGATTTCACTAACCAAGTGCGAAACGGTTCACTTGGCCCAACAAACTAACCCCAGTGCGAAATGGTTCACTGGTTCTAGTCTGGAAGATACATCAACAGTCTTATCCGATCACATGAACAAAGACTTCCCCATCCCAACTCTCTTGTTTTTCTAAGTTAACATACACACAGGTTTCTAAGTCCTAAATAGGACACACCAGGCCACACTAGTCATGAATTTCTAACGGTTTTCAAACGTAACAAAGAGTAATAAATGCAACTAATCATATACAACAATATCATAGAATAACACATAATTAAAATTAAGAAATATAAATCATGAATAATAATTATAAATAGTAGGGGTGTGTAACAGTAGCTATGGCAGTAACTTTAATATGCATTACAGGCTGAAATAATTTACAATCCGGGTCTCTAAACTTCTTTTATAAAATTATCAATAGTCAGGTAACATCTAATATCATAGTATAAAAAGAAAATTTGAAAATCGGCGAATAATTTATACATAAAATGTTGAATTTTACAACTATCAATTTCACAATAATAATTCAGAATAATTCCTTTTTTATTTAAAAATAATTCATTTTCTAAAATAAGCTTTCTTAAATTACTATAATTATTCTAAAATTATGCTTTTTCTAAAATAAATCCTTTAATTTATTATAAAAACCATTCTTACACCAAAATAAGTTATTAGAATCGTTCTAAAATGATTATTTTGTCAAAAAAAATATAAAAGGTTATTATAAATTAATCTTAAGATAATTTTATTTTTATTTTAACAATATCTATTATCACAGAATTATTTTTAGTACTATTTATGTCATTTGTCAGATAAATCCGTGCAGGTCATCACAGTATATGTACTACATCATGATCGGTTACACGTTATTGTTCACAGTCCAAAAGGTTTATGACAGTTCTATAATTGTAACGGTCACACGTTATCGTTCACAGTCCAATATGTTTATAACAGTTCTATAATTGTAACGGATAGTTGTTCGAGGGACGAGATATTATGCATAATTAATTTATGATAAATTTGAAATTGTATTGAGCAAGAATGGGGATATTGTCTCGAGTTATTGTCGATCGATACGTCGTTACCGTGCGAGGATACGGCCCATGGA